AAGCTATACTGTATGTTCTTTTTTCCTGTTTCCTGCAAAAATAGTATTGATCCTGGGGTTGTTTTCACTCTAGCAGCATGTTACTTGTCTCTCTCTTCATCCAAATATCAATGAACAACACTTGCATTTATGTGCGCTGTGTAATTAAACATTAGTAATTTGTTTGACTCTAATAACTGAACACTGAACTCGATAATTAAAAACATGCTTTTTTTCCAGTTTCAGATGGTGAGGTGTGCTGCTTTTCCAAACACATACAGTGCTATACACATACTGTATATGTATTGCTCCCAGTCATGTTAATTATAATAGCACATTTTATGCACGCAATTGCATAAAAGCATACACTATTCCCAGAGATATCTTAAGGAAGGAGTAAGTGAACAAAAAAAGAATAAGGAAAATAGAGTGTCATGTCATGCGCAAAAGGGCAGTTTCATCTAAAAATGCAAATTCTGTCATCATTTACACACCTTCATGTCGTTCCAAACCTGTATGACTTCCTTTCTGCTATGGAACACAAAAGAACATGTTTTGACACATTTTTTTTCTGTACAATTAAAGTCAGTGGGGTTCAGTGTTTTACTGGACCCCACTGACTTTCATTATGTGGACAAAAAAAAGGACAAAAAAGTTCTTGTGTGCAAGGCAAAAGAAGATGTCTTAAAGGTACATGAGAGTAAATGATGACAGAATATCCATTTTTGCTCACTTCACTCACTTTTACTCCCTTTAACTCATTGGAAAACGACATGGAAAACATATCCAGTACTTTATAAACCAGCTGTAAACCAAACAGGTGAATCTTCAGATAACTGCTCGACTGTGCGAGTGCACATCTGCGCATGCGTGAGTGTGTGCGCCCGTGCGAGTGTGAGACAGCAAGATTATCCCGAAGGAGCCTCTTGAGAAACACAAAGAGTGCCTGGATGCATTTGCTTATAATGAAGTCAGAATGGGTTTGGGTGGATTAATGACAATATCAACAGAAGGAACACGGGGACAGGTGCCAGCGCAATCTGGATGCGGTTCAAAGTTTTTAATTACGATTAAAAAGACTCTCTGGCACACGACAAACGCCTTTTCTTTTTTCCAGCCTTTCATTTTTTTCTCACTCCTTTATCACATTTGAAGTGGAATTCCTTGTAAAGCCGGTGGAGTTTCAAAAGGAACGCACAGGCATCTGTACATGTCCATCTGGCAAAAATGGGATTTTTTTTCGGAGAAAATTTGGCAAATTAAGAAAAGAAAGTTGAGACGGCGTGGAATAAACAGAAGAAGCTTGTAAAGAGTAATGGAAATGGATGAAAAGGAATGCATCTTTTGTGTGTTAAAGCTAAAATCCATTAAGCATACACAATGTGATGGTAATAAATAGAGCGCTAATATTTTCCCACACAGACTGCAGTCTCACCAGAACAAAAATATTCTTTCGTGTTCTTCCTCATTCTCTCACGTACACATCCTGCACACCAGCTGTGTGGGTTTGTATGGCGGTATGGTCAGTGGCCGCTTGAAGAATAGAGCAAGTCCACAGGGATGCAGCAGACTAGCTAAAAGTCTGTTAGCACTCCATCACTGCCATTGAGAAACACTGTACTGCTTTCACACACATTCTGAGAGTAAGAGGGTTACAACAAAGTTAAATAGTAAAAGTTTCTTTTAAACTGTTAGGGAACGACGTGAGACTCTGAAAACTGCGCATCCAACAGCGGCTCGCCTGTTGAGAGGCTATATACCTCTCTCTCACACACACACTGCTGCAATTCCTCTGATCTGGAATAGCGGTTTAATTAGTGAGGCAGTAACCACTTTATAAAGATTAGCTTGCTCTCAGGAGGAAGGCTCGTCGCCTATGTCTGCCTAAAGTGTCTGTGAGGAGGGTCTCTAGAGATCAGGACCCATTGTGTTCAACAGACGGTGCTTTACGACAACATATGCTCTCCCTCCCCAATGCTCTTCCTTCACACACTCCATAAATGCTGTACTGTGCTCCCAGCAGTTTTTGCCTGCTCTTGCCTTTGCCATTAGTGTACTTCTTTTGTGGTTTTGCTTAGGCAATCTAGTTAGGGCACGGGGAAAACAAAGAAACCTTAAAACAGCATTTGGGAAGATTGCAAGTTAGCAGACAAACTTTTAAGCTGTACAACAGAGAAGTTCACAAAGGTACGGCCTCCTGCTGTGAAGGTACTTCTCTGAGGTTGCTTGCTAGGTCTGGGTTCAGATTAAAGCATAATTAATCAAATCAAAGATTTGTTTGTGACAGAAGCAAGTGTTCATCTCAATTAAGAGGATGTGATCTGCCCACATTGTCATGGCACCAAGGGACCAGACAAGTTAAATTAATATGGCAACTAGAGTATAAAAGACAGGCAGCACTTACAAGGACTCTGTCTCAGCAAGCTGCCTGGTTTGATCTAATGAAGAACATGATTAACTTTAAATAAGGTTTACAAAAAAACAGAAACATAGGGGATAGTGAGCACATATGAGCTGAGAAAGAAGGAGATGGAGTTTAAAGACATGTTGAGGACGGGGGAAAAAAACATAACGTTATTTCAATTCCAGATATTACAGTGACTGTTAGGTTCCTTTTATTATCTCTTTCATTTTTTCGCTTACCCTCTGGGCAACGTCTGGCGGTCTTTCTACTGTGACAATTTCTTTATGAGAGTTGAACTATTTCCTCTAACAGAGGCTGCTGGATGATCGCGGCGGCAGTCGGATAACCCTCGGTAATTGTATTTATCTGACTGAAATATCGGCTGTCTCGCGAAAGCTCCGGTTGCTGCGGCAACGCCGAGTCCTGCGCGCGCTGACCTCCGGGCCAAGGAGATACTAAAAACACACGCGCCCTCCAGGTGCTGCTCTCCTCACCCCATTTTCAATTCCAGGTGCAATTCCAGCTAAATTGTTAAAAATAAATGTTGACAAACATACTTTTATGGGTCGCTTTGTCGGTGTTAGCGAGGCAAATTGGAGACATTTAAGTTATTTCTATTAACTGGAATACTTGAGCCTACAAAGAGCTTGAACTGTATTAAAAGTGAAAATCACAGACTGTACCTGAAAAAACGTTTAATAGATATGTATGCATTAAATGCTTGATTTATGTAGGCTATTAATAAAACATGCACACTCTAACTCACTAAAATGGTGCCAGTTTATAAGCACTAAACGAAGCGCACAATCTAAATTTAAAGACACATCAGAGCAGATAAAGCTTAGATTAGCCAAAGTAAATAAAATATTTAAGGAAAACTTTGATACCTTGATACGTTGTTATTGAGCTAGGCTATATATATATATATATATATATATATAATTATTATTATTATTATTACCATGGTAGTTACAGTGCTCAAAATTATCTTAGCCTACCATTTAAGTAATGTGATTAAACACGTCAAGATTCTGTCAATGTCTGACAGGACATAGTTTAAAACTCAATACTGGCCTTAGATGTAATATTTCATTACATGAAAATGTTATTTCTAATTCACTAGATCCTGAAGAGACTCTAAAGTCTACTGTCTAATTCTATTCCATCTGTCACAGCTCCCCCGTTGCGCGTGCGGCAGAAACTCAGTGGATGACGCTGCACGTGCGCTTTTCTCCCACCTGATAGTTAGTCTCGCGTGCCAAACCACTCCAACATCGCAATATAAATATATAACGGCCTCCTAATAAATACTGAATCGGGAATTACAACCGTGGCAACAAACCCTAATCGTTAGCGCATCAGATCCTTAAACATTGCACGTTCCACTTCTGTCTGTTTCTGTCTGCACTGACACGCCAATGCATCTAGTGCACAACTGCACATTGAAAAGCGCAAACAACAACTCTGAACAGAGGGAGATGCAAGCATGCAAATACAGGAAGGCACAGACAGAAAGAAAAAGAAGAAGAGAGTAAAAAGCACACACAATGGTCGTTTCCTGATGCTGAGATAATAAGGTGTGTTTGTGGCTGTAGCTTGTCTTCGTGGCACTGTGATTACAAGTTCATGAAGTTGCACGATTTCGCTCGCGCTGCCGGTTTTTGTCAGATTGTCGCATTTTCGTTCGCGCCCTCTAATTAAGGAGCCTTACGTCAACTGATCCGAGCTTTGTGGGCAAAATAGCCACAGCTGCGGTGAAACATTCCCTTAAAATCAATAAATGAGTATGACTTAGTGTAAACAGATGGAGTAGCAACCTGTGTTGTATTTTCTCCCTTTAATATCTGTAATGATAATAGTCCTTATAAACTCGACAACAACACTAAAAATTTTACTTTTACCTATATTATTTATAGATCCATAAACATAAAATATATGCTCCTAAGATGCAAAAAAAAAAAAAAGTTAACATATTGGACACGTTATAAATAAGTTTGGACCGGCAAACTTTTAAGTGTCCCATGCAAAGACAATTCCATAAAAGAGAGAGAGAGGCAGAATCTCTGTCCTCTGTTAACGGGGACACGCGCATAATGTCAGCACGCATTAAGCACATTCAGCGCGTGTCTTCTCGCCGGGTTTGTGGCTCCGCAGCTGTGCGAACTTCACCCGCGTGCTCTGGGGGGACGAGAAACTCACAGCAGATGTTACTGCGTCTCCCACCAGTTTCACACCAAACAAAAAAAGCAGAGGAGAGAGCGAAACGACAGTCTCGTTTGTCCTCTGCGGGGTCATTATTAACAGCTTAATTAATTTTAGATCCGCTCTGTGAATACCGGCGCAAACCACAAGCACATAACACGAGATGAAGAAATGCGCTTCATAGATATGCAACACGATTTTAAAAACACTTCAAAAAGATCAGGAAAAATATACATATATAAAAATGAAAATAATGAAAACAGTAACATTGAAATAAAAGATTAACATATTTATAGGCCTATATATACATGCATAATACATAATGTAATGTGTAATGTAATAGCTAAGACTTTCAACATAAAAAATTTTTTTTCACAAATAACTTTTATGCAAAGAGGAACGATTTGGCACTCACCTGTCCGTTCTTGCACAGGTCAGCCCACATGCTGGTTCCGTCACCTCCTCTCATCAGGACGTGGTAGATGAAGAAATACGTGCCCGGCACGCTGCAGATAAACTTGCCCGAAGTGCCATCATAGTTGTTGCCGAGGTTGGTGACCACGTCGTCGAACTTGAGGATCTCATAGCCCTCGTGAGGGTTCTTCAGTCCCGCGTAGAAAGCCACCCGTGGGTGTGTGTTGTATGTAACCGTGCTGATAGCTCCATCATTGCCCAGACTCAGAACCCCACTTCGGCCCCTGTCCCCCTGGTCCCCCGGTGGCCCCATTGGACCCGGGGGCCCTGGCTCCCCTGGTGGCCCCGGAGGTCCGGGTTTGCCTGGCCGGCCCGGCTTCCCCTGTGGCCCCTGGAGGAGCGTGGAGGGTGGAGGCATGTTGCTGTGGTCGGCCAGAGCCTCGGCCTCGGCCTGCACAGAAGAGCCGGTGCTGGCGATGCCCGTGCTGGTGCCCTTGTTCTGGTATGGGTCGCACACCATTCGACAGGTGCCCAGCATCTCGTAGTGGCTGTTGTCATTGCTCACGGAGCTGACCAGCACGGGGATGAGCACCACCAGCACCAGCACCAGCATGACCCCTACAGCGGCCACCACCAGGGTCTTCCTGCCCAGGCTGAGGCGCGGGAGTGGCTGGGCAGCCAGCGTGGGTCTGCCGGGAGCCGAAATGGTGACTGCTAGAGAAGAGGAGACCGCAGAGAGAGAGACAGACAGAGGGGTGCAGGGGGGGTCCCGGGGGAAAGGCGCCAAGCCCTATCCCAAGCGTGAGGAGGAGTGTGTGAGGGTGAAAGAGACCCACATGCACACGCTCTCACAGGCTTGCCCAGCTCCGTGCACGCCTGGCTTGCTAAGCTGGCTCACTGGATCCGATGGGCTGGCAGGAAAGCGCTTTCACACAGATCCCACATCCGCTCGGTCTCACTCACATGCATACGCACTCTCACACACACACACACGCATGCATGCGAACGCGCTCACACGCTCTCCCCAAAAGTCGATCCCATTGTCTGGTGGACAGAGTTGCACTCGGTAATGAAGAGAATGAGGGATGGCAGAGGCAGCAAAGAGGAAGAGAGGATGAAGTGAGCGAGTGTGCGCATGGGAGTGAAGGACAGCGTGAGAGAGAGAAAGAGAGAGAAGCAGATATAGAGGAGAGACAGGGTATGTTTGCAGAGGCGTTTTCTCAGTCTGAGGGTTTTATACTGAGTAACCAACCCCCACCCCAACACACACACCCACCCTCTCTTCCTCTCCTCTCCCTCTCAGTGTCACAGCGATACAGCCAGGGGAAAGGAAGAAAGGTAACCAAGAGGAGAGGAGGGGACGGCACAGGAAAATGTAAAAGGGTACAAAGATTACAGTAGGAAAGATAAAATCTCATCACAAAAAAGCTCACAGTAAACATTAAGATTTGATGCCTGACAGACTAAAAAGTATCCTTTCACAGGGAGTCATGTCATGAAAAATCCATATTTTAATATACATTCTGAAAATAAAGTTTCTTTTCTGGCATCTATAACTTTAATCAATGGAAACTTTCCATTGTGCAAAAGGTTCTTTATAGTGTAAAAAGGGTCATTAGTAAAATGCTCTTTACACTAAGAAAAAAATGGTTGTTTTAGGAACTGTTCACTGAACACAAAGTGGATCATATTAGGTATTGCTTGTGGGGGGAAAAAGCTTTTGGAAACCTTTATTTTTAAGAGTGTATATATTTATTTGTAGATATAGAAACATTGAAAACATTGCAATTTTCAGAACTGAAAAAGTCCTCCCCAAACCCAAAACACCACTTAGCTCAAACAAATACATTTCAATAAACACACCATTTTAACATTAGCGATACCTATCCAGTATTCAGACACTTAGTTCACCCAGTTATAGTAATGTACTGTAAAGGGGTAGCTAAATTTGGAAACAAGAGTTTCAAAAAATGGAATAAGCCAACTCAATCTTACAGGAAAATGTAACTATTTTACTAGCTGGCAATGTCAAGGTGGCGATGTGAATTACACAAAAACATACAATTTTTAGAAAAAAAGTAAGCATTAAGGTCCACCCCTAACCCCGCCCCTAAACATAACCACCTCTGGGGCATAAGCAGATAATACAAAAGTGTACAAATAAGATTTAACAAATAACAAATTCATATAAATTAGCCACCAATGAACAAAAATGAAAAATAGTTATGAATTGTCATGAGATTGTGTTGGAAAAAGACTGTCAAATATTGTGCTGTTCCTGGCTGTGTGTAGCACCTGCTGCTCTGCCAATGCTTATGATGATCACAATGCTAGAAACTAGCGGTTTGTGCAGAACATTTCAGCATGGAACCTGTCGCATTTATATTTTTGGAAAAAAAAAAAATAATAATAATAATAATACTAAATTATGTGATCCCTTTAATAAAAACACACAAAAAATTGTTTTGTTATTATTAAATTATATGACCCCTCTCTATATTCAATCAGGAGTAAAAATACACATGCTGTTATTGAACTGAGGTCCTACAAAATTATTTTAGATAGTATTATGATAAGATAATTTAAGGAGCAAATTCACTGCTATTCCTCTCTGTACGTTTCTTTGACTTTGAGTGTATGTCATATATAGTCTTATTGTATTTCACTTACTTTTTTCCCTGGCTGCCAATAAAGTTCCCTCCCCCTCCTCCTGCTCAGAAATGGTTTGTTATTGGCCTGTTGCGTTTTTGATCATGATGTCTATTGATCTGATTCTCTGATTGAATTACGGGTCCTGTTTGGAAAAAATCCATCTGTATGGCTCATACTAGACAGCTGACATTTCTACCCAAAGCGCTGGTCGCTGGGAGAAGAGCTGCAGGATTCTGGACATGTCATATGATCTTAAATTACAGCAGGAGTGTGATGTGACTAAGGATGAGGTTTTGTTAAGGTTTCAAAGTGTGTAGAAGTGACAAATTCAAAAGTAAAATCTGTGTAGGTAACGTTGACTATTCACTATTTTGTCAGAAATGAAAGAAAAAGACTCTTTTTAGGCTATGAGAGTAAACAGTGAGGGAAGGCAAGAAATAAAGGAGCAATGAAAGATAGAGATGCCAATAGATTGAGAGAGCAACTGAAAGGCAAGAAAAGGAGACAGTGATGATCCCGTGTGCTCACTGGTCTAAGCACTGGGGTAATGTATGACCTGATGATGTTTTCATTGCCATTGATGGGTTCAGTAAAGGAAGTGTGATTGAAAAGAGGAAGGCATGGTGACATTTATTGGTAGGGGACTGCAAGCGTTCATACTGCTGTTTCACACAGTGATCTAATTATCTTTTCCACTAATTCATTGGACACACATTCCTGTATGTTCACATTCCTCCGGTAACTGAATTTGTGGAAACCCTGTTTTAACCCTGAATGCTGCATGTGTTTAAAGGATAAATTTCTTGATATAAAAATAATTTCTTCTAAACCAGCCTAATAGAAAAACGTCTCGGTTATGTATGGTAACCCTCGTTCCCTGAAGGAGGGAACGGAGACGTCACGTCGGATGACCGACGAAATTGGGATCTCGCTTAGAGAGACCAATCTACTTTGAGTGTAAACTAAACGAGCCAATGCACATTGGCATGAGATTATTGCATCCAGCTGCCGCTGATCACAGCGTGAGTATAAGTAGGCAGCAGATGCAGCGCATATTCAGGTTTTCACTGAGGAGCCGAGCCGGTGACCCGGCCGCTCAGCGGTGGTACAGGAGCTGTGGCGACGGGACGTGACGTCTCCGTTCCCTC